ACACTTGTATTTGGCACACTTTAAAGTTGCAAACTTGTTGCACAGTGTTGCAAAACGCACACACACACACTGAAACACCTTGCTTCGAGTGAAACGCTCTTTAGTATGCAACACTTTGTTTCTGTTTGCAGTGTGATAAACGACTAACGGTAACAGTCGAAGCTTAACTTGGCCACGCTCAGTTCTGAGACTAACGAGCAACACGCACCACGAACCAGACACTGGGAGCAACACGTTGTTGACACAAAGACCGCCTAACGAAGACTAATGACAGCGCTTCCCATTCGTTCGCCACAACTGGTCGCAGAGCTGCAGAGCGAGAATCACGTTGCGTGCACGACGAGTGTTAAATACGAACTGATTGTTTGCCAGCCTGCCAGGCATTTAACAGCCGCTCGTGCCGCGCTGCCGACTGCACACGAACGTGCTGCGCGCGACTTCGGCTCGACAAGCTGTAAGCAAGCAACGAGCACAGTTAAGAGCGCCGGCCAGCAGCGCGACGGCAAGCAGCGCGTAAAGAGCGAAACGAAATCAAGAGAGAGAGAGAGAGAGAGAGCGTGCTGCCACCCCCGGCTGAGGACAATTGAGCTGTTAAGCGTTTCATCTCACATTGTTGCTTGCTCTTAGCAACGTTTCACTTCACAACGTTGCACAAATTACTGTAACTGTAAACTGTTGCTGGCCTGCGTTTCCCATTTCGCTTTGCGCCTGCGCGGCGCATATTCAATGCTCTTTACGGCTGCTCTCTTGCTTTCAAGTTGAAGGCACGCTTTCAATTCAATTTGCAGCTGGCTGCAACTTGTCACCAGCTGCATTTCAATTGCGCTCTGCCTTGCTGCTGTCCGGGAGAGCATTTCAATTCATTTCGTTTCCATTTCGTTTCGTTTCATTTGCATTTCGGTTCGTGAGGCGCCTTAAAGCGTTTCGCCTATCATTTTGCTCTTTGTTGTCTCGTTGTTGTTGCTTGTGTTCGCATTGTTGTTGTTTGTTTCGTATTGCTGTTGCGGCGCGCAACAGGTTCAGTTTTAGCCCCCCCCACCCCCCCGCGCACCCGCCCGCCCACTGCCTTTGGCTTTGACGCACATTCGTCTATAGCTTTTCATTGGCCTTACACAGGACTTTGGGGCTTCTTTTGGCCGTGCTGCTGCCCCCGCCCCCCGCCCCCCCCGCTGTCGTGTATTTATATATTTATTTGCAGTTTTTGCTTGTTTATTTTTTGCTGTTGTTGTTGTTGTGCTTTTATGCAAATACGAGCACAAAATCGTTTTCTGCACGCTTTGACTTTGCCTTAAGTGCATGTGTGTGTGTGTGTGTGTGTGAAGTCGTGTATAAATGAATTTGCATATAATTGTTTGCATGTTGAGTGCCTTTTAATTGATTTTATTGGTTTGCACAACAACAACAACAGCAACAGGAAGAAGACGAACAATGAATGGCAACAATTTTCCACATTTCCCCCCCATTTCTCACTTTATCGCGTGAGTTATCTCTCTTGGCCAGCAGCTAGTTTATTTACTTGCAAGCACTTTGCCCCATTGAACACAACTTAATATGAATTTACAATTCGTGGCGAGGGGTGAGGGGGGGTTGGCCAATTATTTATCAATCCGCACATAAATAAATACATAAATATAAATTATGCAGCTAATAAGCTGCGCTGTTTTATGTAGCTCGTAAATTGTTCGCAGCTCACAAAATAATGCATAAGTGAAAATCGATATTGCGGCTTAAATTGTTAGCTCCAATTGCAAAAATCTGGCATTTGAGTTTGGGCGAGGATTACGCGCTTATAAGAAAGTGCATCGAGCGTGACTAAAGGCTAATTTCAAGACTAATACACGGATTAAACGGGGCTCAAGTCTGTACCTATTAAATGTGTGTACCTGAGGGTGTGAGCCTGGTATTACACTCAATTATATCTAACTAACGGGAAGGGTAGTTTTTATAAAAGATTTAATCTGTTTTTCATGCATTTTCCGTAGACGAAACTTTTAAAATGCAATGAAACATACATATATTCTTAAGGATATATACTTGCAATAGAACGTTCTGCTCTTGAGTGGAAAATTTGCCTGTTTTTCACACAAACTTTCCCATTTTCCAGGGATAGGCCTTTCATATAGTGTGAATTCCAATGTATTTTCCACCATTTAGTGTGAAATCTTATGTATTTACATGAGTATCCCGTAAATATAATAAAAATATTCAACAATTGTTTTTCAAAAATTTTCTATAGAATTTGTAGAGTTTAAATGATTTTTGCTTATTTTTTTCTAATGGGAATTATAAGTAAAAATTTATTAAATTTATAAAAAGAATTTAGCTCCACTAATTTTCTAGCGCTCAAATAATTTCTATATAATTTTTAAGATTTAAAAGATTTTCCTTTTATTTTTTTTGTAGTGGGAATTATAAAAAAAAAAATTGTTTAGTTTATCAAAACTTTGCACTGAGTTTAAGAAAAGTCATTCTATGAAAATCAAAAAAAAATATTCGTAAATTTTGAGGTGGTTTTTCTTATAAAATAATTCAATTTCACAGAAGAAAAACCCGAACTTTATTTCCCAACAATAAAGACTCTGCTCTGTAAAAGTGTCCAGAATCCCATTTATATATTTATTTATAAATATATTAAACTCCCAGCTTCAGTTAGCAGAAATTAAAAAGCAGCTCGCACTAAAATTCGACCAATTCGCGAGCACTTCAGAAACTCAGAAATCTAATCAGGAAAATGGCAAAGATTTTTGTTGAGCAGCGCGAAACTAATTTAAAACCAGCCGCCGACTGTAATTAGGCGCTAATGAGTTATGCCCCCAAAAACATGCCAGGCCAGGCCAGGCCAAGCCAGGCCAGGCTGTGGGGTAACCAAGGCAACGGCCACAGGATTCCGGGCCGGGCCCGAGCCGGAGCCGGGCCATTCAGGCATTCAGGCTCAAAACTCAAAACTAGTCGCAGCCCCATGAAAAACTGCGATTCGGATGAGCTGCAGCTGCAGTTTTGCTAATCAAAAAGTGCTATTAATTTGCTCGCTTTTCAATGGGGCAGCAGCGGTTGCTGTCTGTCAGCGACAGGCGGCTGAGGGCTGTGCGGGGGGGCGTGGCACTGGTGTCAATGACTGCAGTTCTCCCCCTCCTCCTAACTCTCACTCCCTCTCTATCTCTCTCCCTATGCAAGGTGATAATAATCAGACAGGCAATTCTAACAAGACACACGCCCCCCAAACAACAAACGACCCCCCCCCCCCCCCTCCCCTCACATGGCCTTGCCCAGCTGGTGGGCGGCACCATGGTAATCCATCTCCTGGCTCGACAATGGTTGCTCTGGACACCAGCATTAAGCCAGACACTAAATCCAGCAAAGAAACTGGATACAAATATCTTTTGCTCCCACTGTTACTGTGTGTGTGTGTGCGTGTGTGTGTGTGTGTGTGTGTGGTCTTTAGTATAATTATGGTGGCATCACAGGACATGTCGTTGACAAGCTCAAGTTGGGCCAGTCACTCAGTCGCACATATCCCCAACACACACACACCCACACACACACACACACTCGCACACACACACAGAGGCACATTAGTAACCACCATAAAACAGACGCAGCGCCGCACACAGAGATTGGACTGTGGGTGGGCCCATAAACCAGATCCGCATGTGTCCAAGTTCGTAAAGTTGATTCATTCATGGCAGCAAAATTTATATGGCCCTGACGCGTGCGTCCAACGGCGGCTTCTACGCTAAGGCGTCTCCTAAGCGCAACTATAAAACAAGTTAAAGTGCGACCGGGCGAGTGGGCACGACGCACAAATACCCTGTACTGAGTCAAGAGCTGCCATAAGATAAATAACTTTTACTCGGCTTTGGCTGAGCCCGACTGAGCATTGCGAAAGAAATCCATGAGATTGTGCACGGCGAACGAATACCCTGTAAACAGTCTCAGCCACTAGACAACTTCTTCCGAGCAATGAATAAGAGATCTATGGAGGCGCAGGTTTCTTTCCAGGCCTCCAAAATAAGGCCTGCGCCCATGTCTAGTCTCTTCCATCATCCATAAACTGCGAGAGTTCCGGATGTCGATATTTATCGATTCAACTATTCATTTTTTAATCTCTGAATTTGACGCGTTTGTCTTGAACATGAATAAATATACCTTTCCGGGCCTTTAAAAAGGGACACAACTTATCTACTGTTATCCATAAAAAACGAAAGCTCTGGAAATCGATATTTATCGAATGGACTCTTCCTTTTTTAGTCCCTCATTTTGCCGCGCTTATCTTGAACATAAATAAATATGCCTTTCCGGGCTTTTAAAAAGGGAATTTCGCCCGTGTCTAGTCTCCTGTCATCCAATATCTACGAGAGCTCTGGAAATCGATATTTATCGATTGGACTTCTCCTTTTTTAGTCCCTGAGTTTAACGCGCTTGTCTTAAACATGACTAAATATACCCTTTTCGATCTCACAGTTGCTTTCTGCTACGTGTTACATACACTTGCACGACTGCGATATACCCTTTACTGAAACATTTTGAAGAGGTACAGGGTATAAAAACAACTAAAACTAACTACAGCTGACTGCGGCTGCTTCTGCTTCTGCTGCTGATGCGAATGAGGATGCTGATGCGGATGTGGATGTGGATGCTGATGATGCCGCTGACAATGACAATGACGATGAAGCTAATCCTCCCACCCCACCCCCCTTCCCCTTCCCCTTTACCCCCTCTCTGGCCTTTGCCCGCTGCGCGCGGCGGGATGCTAGTGAGAGCCGTTTTGAGTCAAATGATTTATCTCGCAGCTAGACTGCAGCTTGGGCATTGGAAATTGGACTTTAGACTTGGCTTGTAGACTGCATCTTGGCTTATTTAATGCGGCCTATTTGTTTATGTGGAGAGCCCGCCAATTAGCCGGGTCGAAAGGCTGCCTCGAGGCACGCTTCATAAGTGAAAATCAATTGGAGCTGCGTTTTCGGCACGAACTTTAATGGATGCACTGAGTACACTTGAAGTGGAACTACATGGCTTTCGTGGGATACACTGGCAAAAAAAAAAGAAGTATGCATTCAATTTATTTAACGCATTGCCGCCTTCTTCTTGCGGCGAGCAATGCGTGCCAGCTCCTGTTCCGTGGGACGACGTTCGCTGTAACGATCGACCCAGGCCTCGGCCATCCGATAGAACTTCCTCGGATCGTTAACGAACTGGCTGGCTATCTCCATGTTGTATGGATTCTCGGGCTGTGGATCGTTAATGGTCGCGATAAGCACCTGCAGCACGTGCTCGATGCGCGACGTCGGCTTCCAGTGCTCCGGCTCCAGTATGGGCAGACAGACCTGGCCGCGCTCATTGATATTCGGATGATAGATCTTCGTGTTGATGTGCAGAATGGGCGGCCGAAAGGGATAGTCCTTGGGGAAGTCAATCTCCAGCTTGAAGGCGCCCTTGTCGTACGGCGGCGTATTGGGCATCAGCAGGGCGTACCACTTGTATATGTTATCCTTCTCGGGCTCCAGCAGCTGCAGCTGGTTGAGCTGCTTTTGCTCCATCATCTGCTTCAGCTCGTTCTGCATGCGCTTCGGCCCATCCATAATGGGATCGTCTTTCTTCATGTTGGCAAATTGTTCTTGTTTACTTTTGCTTGATTTCAAGCTGTACAATTTTGTCTAAAGTATTTCTCTCAGTGTACTATTGGGAGTGTGTTTGTGTGTGTGTGTGGGGCAGCTAGGCTAGGCGTTCATTTGGCGTTGATGCATGCAATAAGCAAGAGCAGGCAAAGCGAAAAAGAGAGAGAATGTTACCGACTAGAAGATACCCTTTGCTCGGAAAGCAAATACACGTTATGAAATATTTATTCTTAAATAATTTGAATGTAAAATGTCTAACATTTGACTCCCCAGTTCCTAAGAGTTTTGAGATATGTTCAAAGTAGGTTGGCTGCAGATCGATATTTATCGATTTTTTTGAGAACGCGGCAGTTATCGAGAGAGTATACTATTCTATACCAACATATTAGACTTCTGGTCAATGGCTCTTATTAGCTCGAAGATATGCTCACACAAATGTAGCTGAGAAATCGATATTTATCGATTTTGTAAACTCAAGGAAGTTTTCAACAGAGTATAGAGAGTACCATATCCACATACCAGATTTCTGGTCTATAGCTCATATAAGCATGAAGATATGCTTAGCCGATATTTATCGATTTCCCGAACGGGTTAGTTATCAAGAACTTGATCCGCATATGGCGGAGTAATTAAATCCTTTACCCGTTACATACAGACATTCAGACTGAGTATCTGTATCGATATTTATCGATTTTGTGAACACGGGGGAGTTATCGAGAGAGTATAGCATACTTTATCCACTTAGAATATTTCTGGCTTACAGCTCGTATGAGTTCGAAGATATGCTCCGACGATATTTATCGATTTCGTTAACTGGTTAGTTATCGAGAACTTTATCCGCGTATGTGGGAATAATTAAATTTCAATTAGACTTAAAGACGCCTCCCTCTGCCTGTTCCAGACAGACACACAACCGCAATATACCCTTGCAATAACCAAGGGTATCTAGATACATATAGAAAAAAGTGGAGAAATCCTTTCACATTGACATTAATCCCCGAAATAGCCGCTTTAAGAGTCCGCCTGACGTGGACAGGCTCTGACAGCAGCACATTAGGATCAACTGGGCCAAAGCAATGGCACATTGAAACGGATGAAAGGTTCTTCGGCTCATATGAGCCGCAGCTCCCCCCCGCCCCGACCCCACCCTTACCCTTGCTCCCATTTGTTGGCGATACAATTCATGCTCTGAATTCAAAGCCGTTCTATAGTATGTATTTGGCCAGGGCGCAAGAGTTCCATCTGTGCACGGGTTATGCCATGTGTCCAGCCAAGTTCTTCTTTTCACAGATTTCTGGTGCAGATAGAGCATGACATGGCGAGCAGAAGGCACCGTGATGTGATTGCCATTGACATTATAGTTTTCAATTAGCTGAACAAGTGTGGCAGCAAACGTGCTCAGGTGAAGGAGAGTAGAGCGAGCAAAAGTCCCATCGCAATTCCAGCGTATTCCGGACTCATAAATATGTAAAGATTGCCAAAAAGCATAATAAAACCCACTCAAAAGGAAAGCAAAGCTTTGACAGAGCAGCCAGCTCCTATGTCGCCGCTCAGCTCCGCTCAGCTCAGCCCAAAAGGAAACCCACCTCATCTCGACTTACAGCACATTATTTTGGTCTCCGATGGGAAGGTTGATAACAAAAACATGAAAATTAAATATCAAAAATATGCGACGCAAACGAACAACAACAATTTCTTCTTCTTCTTCTTCTTTGTGCGTGTGTGTAATTATTTATGTTGTATGTCATCATCATGTAAATGAAACCAAGACGAGTCGAGACGACGGCCATGGAAATTTGGCCCGGAAACGCAGCATGACGTGCGTAACGGGGCGTCTCAGGCATAATTAGGATATACATATATGTATAAGTGTGTGTGCTTGTGTGTGTTGGGAAAACAAGAAAGAAGTGTTATCTAAGAGTAGCTGAAGCTTGAATATCCTTGCAGATATAATTTATCTGGATTCCTAGAGGAAATATATAAAATAGTATTCTAATATTGCTGAGATGTTTAAAGCTCTATTTGATGAAATATCTGAATGAAAAGAATATTCTTTTGTACAAAAGCATACAAGTCGCAGTAATTTTAGCAATTGAAAAGGGAGGACGCTGGTTCGAGTCCTAGGCAAGCGTATGGATTTAGTGTTTCCTGAGCCATACATAATTGTCAACGCCAGGTTAATCGTTGGCTAATACATCCTGTGGTAGTCTCATCGACTTGATAAAATATCTATAATCGATAAGTTAGAGCTAAGTCGCAAACAGTTACGGAACTGGATCAGACATCGGTTCACGAAGCGACTCTCTAGAGATAGTCGTGAGAATGGTTAAATCACTTGAATTGTATAAAGATCTTGTTGTAAATAAGATATTCAAGTAACGCCGCACATTCCTATACCTATATTCGAGCTGTCGACTGATAGAGATATCGATTAGAGACTGTAGTCGATAACATGTTAGACACATGTTAAGTTACAGAAGGGACAGTAACAGGATAACAGAAAAGAGAGTCAGGTGAAGAGAAGTGCGTGTGATATTTTGAGTATAATAAGGAAAACTTATCATTGTATCCATAGGAAATGAATGTATGAAGTGAATAAAAAGCAATTTATTATAATTCAACTAAAAGAGCCTAGGATAATTTCATGGCTCCAGAAGATCGATTCCTTTACTTATATGAATAAATAATCGTTCATTAGTTCCTCTGAGAGCTTTATAATTTAAAGCTCAACCCAGACGACTTTTATACCTTACCAAGAAAACGAAACTCAGCCAAGTTAAAACTAGGAGACTGGGCAACACTCTAATAGGAAGGCAAAGCAATATCAACGCAATAGTACAAATACTGATCATGAATATATATTCTTAATATGCGTAACAAGGATATGCCAGGCTACAAAATGTATTCAGAGGATCAAAGAGAATATACAACAAGCTACACTTAAGTAGCTGCTCAATTAGGCGCCTCTTCGCGGCATTCCCTAGGACTGCTGCTTATACTATTGTGTTTTGCAACACTTACAAATCCGATTAATCAGTATTATCGATAACATGTCAGTGCCCAAATACCCAACCTTCGGGCGGAACAAGATAAATGCCCATCAGAAAAAGTGGCAGCCAAGGCGTCTGACAGCGCTGCGGGACGCAGAGGCGTCCGACGACCAAAACTGCGCGATGGGGGTCGCTTTGAATGAAGGAAGGGCGATAGGGAGAGGGAGAGGGAGGTAGGTTGTTGTCAGCTGCCTGGCATCAACGCATCCGCCATACTTTTAGCATAAACAGCCGGAAGCGGAAATGTAGATGACGCCGTGCGCCCACTCATATAAACGCGTGTGTATCTAGCTGTGCACTGAGAGAAATAAAGGCGGCTCAACAAATAATAAATAATAAATAAATAAATAATTAATAAGAGGAAAGGATTAGGTAGCAAACATTTTTAACAAGAATTTGTGTACTTGAAATAAGCGCAAGACTTTCTCGGTAAAAGCTCTTAAATTGAATACTCGACTCGAGTCTGGTATTTGAGAATTTTGAGATTCAAGAGAAAAAGGTTTGCAATTACGAAGTTTCTGAATTTTTCTCTGAATGTATTCTCATGAGTGTGGGTGTGTTTATATACCCTGCACCCCTTGAAAAAGAGTAGAAAGGGTATAACATTTTTGTGAAATGATAAATGTGTGCGTTTATGTGAAGAAGAAGCTAAACTGCTTGTAACGTCAACTAGGTGCTCGTTATAGGGTATCTCTTAGTCGGTCATTCGGGCCTAGAGCACGCTCACTTGTTTCTTTTCTGTGTGTGTGTGTGCTTTGAGAGCCTGCAGCTTCAGTCGCGCCCGCTGTCAGTGCCATTCCCAATCTCAATCCGCATCCCAATGCCTTTTTCTTCTCCCTTCTCTTGCCTTACCCCTTGCCCCCCTTCCCCCCTGTGCCCCGCCGGGGGGTGTCTGTCATTTGTTTAGCTGTCATTGCCGGCGTATTGCCGCTGACAGCTCGTTGGCCTGGAGCCTGAGGCCTGGCCATGTCGATTGGGATACTGCGATGGCGCCAAGGCGCACAACTTTTCTATGGCTATGAAAAATCTGCCGAAAATTAGCAGTCGCCGCATTAAATCTAATCTGATCCGATTTTCTATTACCAATTGGCTGCTCTGAGTGCGGGCCCACATGCTGTGCAGGATTCAAGCCATGTGTGTGTGTTGTGTGTGTATTAACGCCCTTTTGCCTAGCCCCGCCCCCAGCTCCCGCCTTTTGCATGTGTGCACTTTAATCTTTTTATCGCACTCTAACACTGCGGCTCAGTTTTTCGACTGACTTTTGCGCCTTATGTTCCACTGTGGAGCGTAGCTTCATTAGCGCGAAAAACGTCGCGTGCGGCTTTTCTTTTTTTTTCTCCTTTCCCCATTTCCATTTCCACTTGCGGCCTGTCATCGACCCTTTTCGGGCTGTCTTTTGTTGTCGACTGTTGCTTTCTGGCCGTGTTCAGGCCGTGATATATGAAGCGATTAACATTAAAGGTGCCTAATTGATTCGGGCCAGCCAATGTCCGACGCGTTTTAGGCCTTAAGCTGGGGAGGAGGAGGAGCTGGGGGTAGGGGCCACAATTTGCGTATAAATTTTCATTAAGAAATTATCGCTCGTGTTGCTTAAATTTAAATTAATTATGTATGGTTTATCATCAAGCAATTCGGCGGCATGCAAGGACGCACAGCCACGCCCACACACGCCCACACACACACACACACACACACACACACACACACACACACACACACACACACACACACACACACACACGCACACGCACACACACATGCAGTTGGGGCCACATGCAACAGCAACAGATTATTTATGCCTTCAGTGAAATGCACAGCACATCGACGACAACGGAGACGATAACGATAACGAACGAGGAGAAGCTCGTACAATATTAAATTGCATGAAGTGAATAAAAGCAAAGTACACACATCAACACACACGCACACACACACACACACACAGGCAAAGGTATAAGCACACACACATAGAGACTGCGACGCCTTGTGCCTATGACTACAACAGCTTAAATTTTGTTCCAGGGCTGAAGAGCAGCTGTTAATGGAACCACCATAAAAGTTGAATAAGCTAGAAGCTAGAAACCTGCCAGCCTCGCAGAAAGTATCATAAGAGGGTCATGGAACGTGTAACGCATAAAAGAAGATTTCTGCGAGCCCATAAACTATATTTATATATATATTTTGATGAATGAACAGCAGGAA